TTAAACAATGGCAAGGGCCGGCTTGGCCTTGTGGGTGCCCATCACAGAGGGCTCAGCAGGGTCGGGTTTGCTGCTTTGCCAGAACTGACGAAATGACATTTAATTTTTATGATCTTTCTTTATGTTAATTATTGAATGACTGTCAGGTGCAATATGGGGTCCCCGTTTTTAAATATGGGCTTAGACCAGTGAACCAGTTGCCTCTGCCACTCAGAAACCCTCTTCAAACAGACGAGATTCTTTATTTCGCTTTTTTTAAAAAAGATGACCGGTAAGGGGATCTTAACCCTTGACTTGGTGTTGTCAGCACCACGCTCACCTAGTGAGCGAACCGGTCATCCCTATATGGGATCCGAACCCGGGGCCTTGGTGTTATCAGCACCGCACTCTCCTGAGTGAGCCACGGGCTGGCCCCCTATTTCGCTTTTTAAACAGTCTCTCTACTGCAACTGATCCCAGGCAGGGAAGAAACATCCCAACCTTTCAGAAAAGTGTCTGCTGAGGTGGACACCACGCCCTGCTGCTTTAGTAACATTTAGGAGCAGACCGTGTGAGACATGGTGGGGGAGGCACACCCTGTCTCTGTCCAGGAGAGCCCAAACTGCGCCATGGCCACACAGCCAACAAGCAGGGCCTGAAAACACACATTGGACTTCCCCTCCCTAAATTAATCAAGAAAGATGCTTGGTGCCCACCCAGGACATGCTGTCCACTTGGGAACTGACATCCAGCTCAGTGAACAAGGCGCCTGCAGGATTCCTGGCAGGTCCATTTCAATGGCTCCTCACCAGTGCTGTCCTTCCTGGAAGGTTACCCTTTGCAACCTGTGCCAGCAGGAGACCTTGCGCCAAGGTCTGGGGACAGATTTATAAGCATACACAGCTGGGCTTAGCTGTAGAAACCTTCCAAGTGCCATTCCATTTAAAAAAGAATCCAAGAAGAGAAGCTGCTTTCACCAGGTTTCCTTTTGGGGTATGAGAAAGTTCTGGAACTAGACAGAGGTGGTGGGTGGTTGCACAAATTTGAGAAGGTACTAATTGCCACTGAGGTGGATGCTTTAAAATGGCTAATTTTATGTTATGTGAATTTCACCTCAATAACAAAGAAAAAGAGAGCAGCATCTACACTACACTGGGCTTTGTGCTCCCGGACCGCAGGGCCACCTGCTTGGCAGCCGGGTCTGGGACACGTCCCTTCTGGTCATGCTGCCAGGAAACAATCCTCAGGTCGGGAAGGACCAAGAGGAGCTGGGGACACAATGTGCCAACAGTGTCAGGGTGAGCGCGGAGTGGGCGGGAGGACTCTCCGCTCTCCTCCGCTGCAAGTGCTGCCTCGGCCCTTGCTGAGCTCTCCTCTTCCAGGGGAGGGGGCAGGAAGCGTCCTACACACCCTGTGGCCCTGGGGCCCTGTCAGAGCAGACTCTTTACAATGGGGATGTGGTTTGGGAACCTCCACGGCTTCCTGCCTCTGGAAGATCATGGAAGATCATCTCTCAGATCAGCACACAGAGCAGCGCGCTCCCCTGGGCCCAGCTCCCGCCTGTTCCCCGGGCTCGCCCCTGTGTCCTGGGTCGTGGCTGGTCCCGCTGCACAGAGATGGACGAGAAGCCTTTCTGAAGCAAGCCCTATGTTCTTCTCAACTTCTAGACTGGTGAAAGCAGGGACGGATGGTTCTTCATGAGTTGTGCGAGATGATGAAGTGACTTTTTCTCCCAGACCCGATGAGAGGGAGCAGAGTCGACAGTCATGGTGTGAGCAGAGCCCAGCCTTGAAAGACAGTGCAGTGCCCGGGTCCCTTCCCCTGCACGGCACCGGCCCCCCTTCCAGGGGGCTCACAGCTGTGGAGTGAGCGCCCCCGGTCTCTCCTGGCCTTTCGGGTCACGGTCCCCCTCGGGCGGCCTGGTCTTCTGGTGTGTAGGAGCAGGCAGGCTGCTCTGGTGCCCACGGCACAGGGTCACCCCGGCCCCTCCTGCCTGCTTGTTGGATGGAGGCCGGCAGGGCAGCAGAGGAAGCACCCATCCTCCTCTGAGGAATGGCTCTGTGTACGGCTGCGTCCAGGTTTTCAAAAGCCAGGGCCTCACCCCAGCCAGGCAAATTGAAACAGCCCGAGCACATGCGATCACAGCTTTGGGGTCTTAGTCCACCCACGCCCCGCTTCACTGCCCCGTTCTCTGCCTGACTTTACCCTGGATATGGACCCTGGGCATGTGCCGGATCCATTACCTGGCAAAAGAGCTACTTCTCCCTAAGACACAGACACACGGAGCAGGCTGGCTGCAGGATGGGAAACTGGAACGCGCAAGTCAGGCCCAGCAGCAGACCTGAAAACATTTCACCTCTTAAGCGCAGGCTGTAGTTTCAGTCCCTGCATTGTCAGTGGTCAGCCCCAGGCTCTGTGGTCAGTCCACGCTGACCTCCAAGGACCCCGTGGTCTCCCACCTGCAGAACGTCTGGGGGGCTATGGTTCTGGAACTCGAGGGGGGCAGCCACCCCCTCCTCCTGCCCGGCCATGCTTGAGAATCCAGACCGTGGGGTGGACGCCCTTACCCCGCTCCCTGGGATGCAGAGCTCCCTGCAGGGCCACACCACGTCCCTCTGTGAACACCTCCTGACGTCTGCCCACACAGAGACTCAGGTGCTGGCAACGAAAACTGGGCTGGAGAGAGCCCACTCCTGAGATCTCCTCACGTAGACTCCCATTCCTTGACTGGAGAACGGGGCTATGCAACACTTGGCAGATTCTGTCTCAGGATCCGAGGGGACGAGGCGCACAGTGGGCTGGTGGCTGAAGGCATTGGTGCGTCTGGCAGTGGCTGTGCGGGCAGCGGCTACCTCCCGCGCCTGGCTCAGACTCCGGTGTACCAAGGGCTTCCCTTGTGCCAGGTCCTGCGAATTTGACTGTAGATTTGCCCATGGTTTCTGGAGGAACAAAAGAGTGCACAGGCCCTTC